GTTTCAAAAAGCGTTTTTGCAAGAGTCTAAACACTTTATTTTCTTCCACATCTTTCTGAAATCAGTGTTGTTGTCGGCGATCAGCAGCAGCCAAGTATTGAGCGTATTGCAATGCATACGTGTTGAATTTTGTCCGGCGGACATATTTATTTAAGCGACCCGAGGCAACTGTTTATATCCTACCACTGAAAATACTTTATTCCAGTTTTTAAACAGATGATTTGAACTATCGTTTGTCTGCATATAATGGGAGGCGCCACTTTAAATGTTTTGTTTGCGCTTTGCGCTTTTGCTTTTTATACTTGAGCTTGGTGTCATTGTGCAAGCTCAAAAAATATAACAGGTCACTCTTTTGATGGAAGATCCCTTGTTAATCGTTAACTTAATGAAGTCACTGTTTGACTCTAACCCAGAGAATGCCGCTTCGGGCGATAATTTTACCTTCGATTGTTCATCGGTAACTATATAATGTTATAACCTTTTATTGCATATGCAGATTTCTGATGGAAACTCTAGAGTCTTCACCGATGAAAGAGTGAAACATCTTTTTCTTTCACACAGTCTCTGCGATTTTGTGCGTTATGAATGGCTTTATTCTCCAATCGACAGGTAAAGAATCCATGACTGTTTGGACGTTCCCAGAGAACTGTTTTTGAACTCGAATGATTTTCAAATTATTTTGCGGGAACACTTCCGCCCTCTCAAGGCACGTAGACTTACTCGTGCACAGTGGAACTGTATTAGGCGGATAATTGGTAGACCGCGGAGATTTAGCCATTCATTCACAGACGAAGAGCGTCGGACCATCAATGCAAAACGACAAAACCTCCGTTTTTTGCAGAAGTGTCTGCGAAGTCCTCAACTTTGCAGGCCAAATGCAAGTGCTATTTTATGCGTTTTGAACACTTTCGCCGATGCTGTCCAAATTCCTCTACGGCTAACACGAGGAGCAACTGTATGCGCATCGTAAGTTTCCGTTTGTCACATTACTTTCTTACAAGTAGAGTTGTTTCACCAAACCGAGGACTGTTTCTGGGCACGATACAGTCATCGTCCAATGGGGATACCTGCTATGACATAATTTTTGAGAAGCCGCTGCTTGCGAACTCACAGCTCCCAGTTGGCGGTTCGACTCAGACCTCTCTCAGCGTATACACAGTCCCCGACGAGAATATTTTCTTAATCGACCCGCCATCCTCACCGTCTATTTCCGTATGTGCAGCCCGGACATACTTTTTATCTGAAGGTCGAGGCCAAACTCAGGATCCGTCGATTCCACCCGCATTCTCAGACAGGGAATTGAGTATCATGGGCAGTGATAACATTCAGTATACCACTGAATCCTTGAACGCAATTGATGAGACTGACGAACTCCAGTTGAATACTAATTCTTGCACTGTTGACCA